CAGCATAGGTTCAGAAATTACGGCAAATCACAGCACACAGCTGGTGCCAGGTTTCACCGCACTTTGGCATCTGTCCCAGTATCAGCAAATGTGGCTGTTCTCCAGGGTCAGCTGGGACCTTTGCCTGTGGGGAGGCCATATGTCCTCTACCAAATGCATCGCAGACAGAGGAAATGTTTCTCCCCGTGTGGCCCATGGGCCCCTCAGACCCTGCTGCCTGCTTCTGGGGATTTGCCCTATTCTTCTCCAGAACAGCACCAGGCACTGAGCTCTAGAACTTCAGACTCTGCACTCCACTGTTTATAGAATCCTGGTGGTATTGAAACCCTCTCCTTTCTTCCCGTCAGTGGTTTTGGGGAACAGGTTTTTTTTTTTTTGTTTTGTTTTGTTCAGTCCCCTGCGAGTGTTTTCATTCTTTTTCTCTCTTTCTCTCCAGCCACTTTCAGGGGAGTGTTTTTCCTGTACACTCCCAGTGTGCCACACTTTCCCCCTTTCTCTGTCCTTTCTCCACAAAAATAGCTCCCTACTGTCGGTGGCTTTTCTCTCCCCCAGATCACCTCTCTGTCCTCATACCTTCTGAGGTCTGTGGCTCCAAGTTGTGCAGATTGTTGTGTTAATCCTCAGATCAATTTCCTAGGTGTGCAAAATGGTTTGGTGCTGATGTAGCTACATTTCAGGAAGGAGACAAGCTGAGGGTCTCCATGCTGCTCTTCCATCTTGATTGCAATCGCAATCTAATGAATCTTCGTTCAAGGTTATTTTTGAAAGATGTTACCCTCATATCACCTTTACTCAAGGAGTTAAATTCCAACCAGCATTAAGTCTTGTTAATCAGAATGTTTTTTAGACTTTTAAAGACTCGTCAAAGAGATTGAATATTCTATAATCTGACTATAGTCAGAGAGTGAAATGTATATTGTCACCAAAACTGAAAAATAGGTTGCTTTATGGCTACTGTTACTTTCCTTCAGATTCAGTATTATCATAGCTAGTTTAATCTGAAATATTTTGCTAAGTTGTGTATTAAATTGGGATTTGTTTAGGTTTGCTTCATCAGGAAATGGGATAATTTTTTTTTCTTGTCATCTACCTTCTATAGTTGTGCAGTGACCCTTTATGTCAGTGAAGAACAAAGCCTTTGTCTGTCTCTTGCTTCTTTACTTGGGTGACTGAGGCTCTCTGATTATAAAGAGAAAAGGAATTAGTGATTCCCTATTATCCTTTCCAGCTTAGGTGTTGTGGAAATAGGATTGCTATTGTGGAATTTCTGAGGTTACACACATTTGAGAAAACTTGAATCATCAGAAATCTCAAAAATGACAGAAAAGTAATATGTTTACCGTGTAAAAGAAAATACCACTTATTCTTTCCACTTATTTTGTGTCTCCAATTTAAGTTATGTAATTGTGTTATTTCATTAAGTAATATGTAGATTGGTTCACAGTTAGCAGTGAAGATCTTGTAGGCCCAATAATATATGTTTAATTTTGTTGAATCTTCCTTCCCAGTTTGTGTAGCCTTTGTTTCTTTTTCTTGTCTTAATTGCATTAGCTAGGACTTCCAGTATCATATTGAAAAGCAGTGGTCAGAGAGGGCATCCATACCTAGTTATCATCCATACTTGGTCTTAGTGGGAAAACTTTTAGAATGACTATGATGAGTATGATGTTAGTTGTAGATTTTTTATAGAGTCTGTACTTCTGGACCATAGACTTAACACATGCTTCTCAGTTTTTCTTAATTCTTCTTAGGACAGGATGGCTGTAGTAGGCTGGAGTTGGGTATTCTTCCTCCAGGTCAGTGAGACTCTAGTTAAATAGTTTCTCCTGAGCACATAACTTCTTGAGAACAGAGTGCTGCTGACTGTCTCAAAATGGTTCCTTTTCTCCACCCTCTGACAGAAAGAGGAGATGCTTTTTCTCTAGTATTCACTTTGAGAACTCATGTAGTATCAGGTATGACTGTCCTGGGACCAGCCTTTTATTTCATGCTTTTTTGTCAGCATCATTCAGTGCTTTGCAAGCACAGCCACATGCTCCTAGTTTTACAATTCTAGCTTTGTTTCCTTTAATGTTAACTTACAGTAGCTGAAAGTGACAACATAAATTTGTCATATAAATGCGTGTTTATGTGTTATATAGTTATATGTGTTATACGTGTTATATAGTGCTGATCTAGCTGTGTTTCAAGAAGGAGACAAGCTGAGGGTTTCCATACTGCTCTGCCATGTTGATCACAGTCTCAGTCTAATGAATCATTAGATTGTGTATTAGTTCATAGATTGCAAAGTATGTGATCCAAGTCACCTAGAGAGGTCTTTTTTTTTTTTTTTTGTCAGAAAACCTTAACCTTAACTTAGCTATTATATTCACATAATAGCTTAGATAACATTATAATGAAAATCACAAAATATGTTCTAAGGTGCATTCTCCTGTGTTACAGTCTTTCCCTTTCAAAAGGGCTATTTCTGCAGCACAAGAAATTAGAAATTACTAGAATGCCATTTGAAAACTTTATATCTGGAAACTAAATGTGACATAAGTTTATACTTACTATTTAAAGAGTAAAAATTTCTCATACCAGTGGAAAGTCTTAGGAATTACTACATTTTCAGTACTCATAAAACTTGAAGAGGAAATTGAAAAAACTTTTCAATGTTGTTTTTTAAAATTTTTCCTTAGGTTTCTAGTTGTTTTAAGCATTGAGTCATACTTAAGAATTTTTTTTTTTGTCTTTTTATGTGACTAAAAGGGCCTAATCTGCAAGTGAACAAAATCTGGCCCACAACATCATAATATATAGTATATCTAAAGATACTGTGGATGAAGAAATGCTTACCACTAAACTGTTAATATATTTTCGAAGCGTTGGAATCTTCACAGTAGGCCAGAATGGGCCTTTTATTGTCTTACGCATTCATGATTCTTCCGTGTTATGAGTTTGTAATCTGAGCTTTTGTTACAAATCAAAGAAAAAGATGCGTTTTTAAAAAATTTAGTACATTTATTACTTACCATTCAGTATTAATTTCTGAAGCTCTTATGAGCAACTTCTAAATTCTGTTCAGATTTACTCCCAGGGTAGTTATTTATATGAAGTAATATATGTCAGATTATTTTGTCTTTAGGAAAATTAAAATGCCAATAAAATATTTTATTAATCACTTCTCTGTATTTGTGGCTTTAGGGAATAGATACATTTTAAGAAAATGGATATCATGGTTTTCATTAAATTTTAAGGTTTTCTTCTCTTTACTAAGATATGTTACTTGCTTGGTTAGATTGCAGTTTATTTGAATATATGGTAATCAGGTAAATAGCCTTGGCCAGATACATGAACTGAAGGACAAATAAGCTCAATGTTTTTGGAACGTGAGGGATAACTATTTCTTACTTTCAAAAACCTTAACTTTCAACAGAGCAGATATTTTAAGTCTTTAGGTAGGTTAAACTTAAAACTTCAGTATCCAAACACCAACATTTTGCTCTTCTATGAACTATTTCAAGTTCTTAACAGTTAGAATGTTGCAATAGGTACTTGTTAATTGGTGCTAAAGGGCTCCTCATTTTCTTGACTAAATAAGACCTTAAGGATAAGGTTCTTAACGTGTTCTTGAAAAGGGGTGCCTGGGTGGCTCAGTTGGTTAAGTGTCCAGCTCTTGGTTTTGGCTCGGGTCATGATCTCACGGTTTCGTGAGTTTGAGCCCCACATCGATCTTTGTGCTGATGGTGTGAGCCTGCTTGTTCTCATTCTCTCTCCCTCTCTCTCCCTCTCTCTCTCTCTCCCCCTCCCTCCCTCCCTCTCTCTCTCTCCCTCTCTCTCTCTCTCTCTCCCCCTCCCTCCCTCCCTCTCTCTCTTTCTCTCTCTCTCTGTCTCTCCCCCTTTCTCTCTCTCTGTCTCTCCCCCTTTCTCCCTGTCTCTCTGCCCCTCCCCTACTCATGCTATCTCTGTCTCTCTCAGAATAATTAAGTTAAGAAAAAATATTTGAGGGAACAAATGAAGCACCATCTTGTCTTTTTGCAGAATGAAATCACTCATTGCACTGAAAATGCTATTAGAAATGTGTGTGTGTGTGTGAGTGAGTGTTGGGGGTGGATTGAGGATGCTTTTCTTACTGGTACTTGAGTTTCCAAGGATTTTTCAATAATGTAATTGTACTTTAGTGCCATATATGATTGCCAGGAAGTTACTTTAGGTGAACTACTTACCTAATTACACCTGAAAGTTGAACCTGATTTTTGCAGCCATGATTCCATGTTATGTAACGTATGCTGGGGAAGCAGGTTTTCTTATGCTTCTGGATATGGTGACAAACCAGGAGCAGTAAGCTTAATAGTAAAAAGATTCTTCATTGTGCTCACCTAACCAGATAGACTAGAAAAGCTTGTGGCAAGAAAGTAGGAGGATTATATTTCTCAGTTTGGGTGATGGATAAGAATGTTGAGAAATATTTATTATTATTTATTATTTTTATAGGATAGATTCCTGTAATCATAATGGTAGTTTGTTTCTTATAGGTGTGATGTTTGAGAAGACTTTGAGACTTTAGGGTTGGTGTATTTAGTGTTATAGCTTGCCTTGTTATTTGTTCCTTCATTAGTACAGAAACCCCTTTTTTTACACATTTCAGATGAAGTCTAATGCATGTTAACCATGCTTTTTTCTAGAGCTCTTTCCTAAATTTGCTGCTTCCTTCCTCGTGGCTTTTCAAAATGATTAAACAAAAAAATTTTATAACCATGCCTTACTTATCCTTTTATTTGTCATCCAAGCCAGTTATGCAGTACTATTTTAGAACTTAGGTGATAGGCAGTTGAACTGGGTGTCTGGAGTAGCCAAAGTAGATTGTTTAAAATGCTATTCTAGAGACAGATGGTGTGGAATAGTCAATATCTGAATATTTGTTATGTCTACATAGGCATTGTTTTTGTACTTGTATAGGATTTTAATGAATGTTACCTTTTTATTCCTTCCCTTCCTACTCTTGTTTTTTCTATCAGTGTAAACCAGAATACAAGGTACCTGGACTTTATGTTATTGACTCTATTGTACGACAATCTCGACATCAGTTTGGTCAAGAAAAGGACGTGTTTGCACCCAGATTTAGTAATAACATCATTAGCACTTTCCAGAATTTATATCGTTGCCCTGGGGATGACAAGGTAAGCTGCCTTTTTTTTTTTTTTTTTTTTTTTTTTTTTTTTTTTTTTTTTTTTTTTTTTTTTTTTTTTTTTTTTTTTTTTTTTTTTTTTTTTTTTTTAGTCAATACATTAGCTTTTGGTCTTAATGAGACTCTGGATTTTCTTACTTTATGATTTTGTTACCCTTTAAGTAATTCTGAATTCTAATATTTAGTTCTTATATACTCTATGTTCTGAGGTTCTTAGAATCTTCTTAAAAATGGAGAGATGTAGTTGATGTTGCTTCTTTTTAACTTACTGAAGCAATTGGTTGGTGTCAAACCGGCTATAAGAAGCTTTTGGAATTACACTAAAAGCTTATTTATTCTCACAGAAAACTAATTCAGTATTTTGATATTTGACCTGAGTTGATAGGCACCTATTACGTGCCTATCAGATTATAGAAAAGAACTGCATTTAGATTCTTTTGTTATAGTGGAGTTTCATCAGTGTCAGAAACCATACTGCTAAGTCCACTGATCTGAGTGAATATATGTTCCATACCACATGAAAGGAAGGTTTGGAACCTGAAAGAAAATAAAAAAGTTGATGTGTGTTCAAAGATATTATTTTGGATGCTGATTTGGAAATTTAGTATACCCTTCTGATAGGTTGATTACAGCATTAAAGTTTTAAAAAGTCATGTAAGATAAGAACTTTGGCCTAAAGTTTGTTATTTGTTTAAAAGATAAAGTTAAAGTGACCTATAAATACAGCTTCGGTGCTGAGATGAATCCTGATCATCTCAGCAGCCCTTAACACAGTGTCCAGCCGAAACCATCCATCTCCTGAGGCCTCACAGACAAGCTGAAACCTAGTTGCCGTTCTTGCCTTTGCTAAATGCAGCTTTCGTTTATTTACCTTGTGTATCTATACAGATGAATGGGGTTTTTCATGTGTTAAGATAAGCAAATGCAAAATTACAGAAACATGATTTCAGAGGTGGAAAGTCTTATAGAAGTATTTGAATCAGTCCTCCCATGCACTGCTCGCATGATCTCTGAAATGACTGTGCTAAGTTTTGAAAGCAAAAAATTAAAATGTCATTTGTTTTGTTTTTTGTTTTTTTTTCCTCTAGAGTAAAATAGTGAGAGTATTAAACTTATGGCAGAAGAATAATGTGTTTAAGAGTGAGATTATTCAGCCTCTTCTGGATATGGCCGCAGGGATCCCTCCCCCGGTCGTCACCCCTGTGTTGGCCAGTACTACTGCTGCCATGAGCAACACCCCCGGTAGGTTACTCCTGTCGAGATTTGTTTTCTAAGTATTCTATTCCTGGTTTTCAGGTGGTTATTCATACTTCTCTAGCATTAGATAATTGAAAGGATATGTGATTTGAAGGAAAAATAAACTCAGATTTTATATTTGTGTGTAATTCTTTTCTAAAAATTAAAAAGCCACACTTTTAAATCCCTACAGACATAAATATAATGAACTTTGGGGAATTGGTTTGTCACTTAGATCTTTTCCTGGTTTAGACTGTCTGTAGTCTTTTAAACTTGCATGTAAATTAACCTGATTAAGTAACCAGTAATTAACCTAATTAACCTAACCAGTGTAGTAGGGGAACTTAATATTTATAAGGAACCCTGAAAAACTTATTTAATGGAGCCAAGAATGCTTTAGTAATTAAATGTCAAAATCCTGTTTTTGGAAGTATATTTGAATGACGTTTAAAATTTGTTATCATCATTTAACGTTTGATATATATTTAGTTTTTGTTGTGTGTCTATATATCTATGCCTCCATTGTTTTTTACGTTTATTTATTTTGAGAGAGAGACAGAGCAACTGGAGGAGGAGCAGAGAGAGGGAGAGAGAGAATCTCAAGCAGCCTTTGTGCTGTCAGTGCAGAGCCCAGTATGGCCCATGAGATCAGGACCTGAGCCGAAACCAAGAGTTGGACACTTTAACTGACTGAGCCACCAAGGCATCCCCATATATATCCATTTTAAACAAAAATAGCTTTACATTATATGTGCTATTTTATAACTTTTTAAATTATATTTTGAATATTTTCTCATGTCATGAATCTTCTGTAGTAAGATTTTTAATGCCTTGTAAGCATTGTAGGCTCTTTTAAGTAGTAGCTTAGTTAATGAGGACACGTATGGACAGATCCTTTTGGTATTTTTTTCCAACCCTACCTAATTCTGTAATTGTATAATAAAAACATTTGTTTAAGTTAGTATATATTTTATAAAAGTGACAAAACAAATCTCTCTACCTTTTCAAGTCTTATTTATTTACTTTACATATTTGTTTGGGTGGGTGTGATGTCTTTTTTTAAAAGGAACTCCTGTGACACCTGTTACTCCAGCCAATGTGGTCCAGGGTCTGCCCGACCCGTGGGTATCTCAGATAACGAATACAGATACACTTGCTGCGGTAGCTCAGATCTTACAGAGTCCTCAAGGCCAGCAGGTGAGCAGTTTTTTTGTTACGTGGACAATGATTTAGACCTCATTTTCATAATGTACCACCTAAAGAATATGTGTTTTCTTATTTTGTAAAAATGAGGTCATTTTAGTGCTCTGTAACTTGCTTTTTTAAAAACTTAGTAATGCATTGTTTTATGTGCTGTTTTATAAAAAAATGTATTTCACGCTACAGTATTGATTTAGCACATAGTTTGTGCCAAACATTATTAGATGCTGTTGTTACTCCAGTGCCAAGACAGGGGAAAGGAGTCTTTCTTAGGGGAGACAAATAAGAAAAAAGCATAAAACTTGTGATAGTGACACATAAGTTAAAACAGTGAATTTTTAGAATGACTAGGTTTGGAGAAAGGGTCAAAATTAGGAAGAGTAGCCAAGCCAAGAGAAGATGTTTTTGAGAAGTGGCATTTGAAGTAAGACTTGAAATGGAACTAGTCATGGTAGGATTTGAAGATAGCTCATTCTTAGCATAGCCTTTTTTTTTTTTTACTTGACCTTTAAAAACCAAATTAATTATGATCTGTGCAATAAAATCCCCCAAACTCTTTTTCCAGGTATTCATAAGGTTTAAGCCAAGTGTAAGTTTTTGTTTAAATGTCACCTCAGTAAGTCCTTCAAAAAGTTATTTAAAACTGTACATTCTTAACTGCACATGCTTTCACCCCCATCCTTTTTCCTCTCACCTACCTTCTTCCTTTTTTTAAGTTTATCTTAACTTATTTTGAGAGAGAGCATGTGTACGAGCAGGGGATGAGCATGGAGAGAAAGAATCCCAAGCAGGCTCTGCACTGTCAGTGCAGAGCCCAGTATGGGGCTCGATCCCACAAACTGTGAAATCATGACCTGAGGTTAAATCAAGAGTTGGACACCTAACCAACTGTGATACCCAGGCACTCCCTGTCTATTATATTATATTATATTATATAATCTATCTTCTATTACATTTACTTAAATAATTTACTAAATTTATTTTGTTCATTCTCTGTCTCTTCCCACTGGAATGTGTGCTATATAAGGACAAGCTTTTTTTTTTTTGGTCTGTTTTGTTCACTTGTGTATCTCCAATGTTTAGGTAGCAGATGTTCAGTACATTTTTGTAGAATGAGTGAATAGTGTATAGAGCCTAACAATGCGGGGTATATGAAAGATCTTTTAGAGTTGAGATGGCTGAAGGATAAGATGGCCTGTGTATATAAGATAATGACGACAAAGTTGAAATGGTAAACCTAAATGTGGGACCTGGTAGGCTGAAAAAGGGCTCAACAGTGTAGAATCGCCACAGATTTTTATGTTGAAGTCACATGATCTGAACAGTACTTTAATGGACGAGAGAGGAAAGAAGCCTAGAGATAGCAAGTATTGGTAACAATGATAAAGGAAGGAAAGTAATGAATATGTGAAAATAGCAGGGTTGTAGACTCTAAAAGGACAATCTAAGAAAAGAGGGACTACACTAGAGTTTTAAACATGTAAAAACCAATTGGAAAACGGAATTGGATGTTAGATAAAATTCTCAAATTATTAATTTTATGATAATGATATTTTGAAAATAATTCATAAAGCAAATGTTCTCATTTTAAAAGATACCTGTTAAAATAAATACTTTTGGCAGAAGTGATTTTTCCAGAAGAAATAGTACAAAGAAAGTTAAGAAAATACAGTGATCAGTAGAATATGAAGTTTGAGTAAAGGGAAACATAGGATGCTGCAGTGCTTTGAACCTGACAAACAATAACAGTGCTATCTGGAAGACTGGGGATGTCAAAAACAATAGTTAAAATTGTGTAAAGCAGAAAATATGAATTTAACCCCCTTCACTCCATCCCTTCCCCAACTCCTCCTGGCCCTTCCTCCTCTCCCTACATTTCTTCCTCCTTCTCCCCCCCCCCACCCCCATCTTGTGTGTTCTGGAGCTTCCTCAGTGCAGTAAATCACTTATCGTATATTTTGGTATCACTTTCTTTGCTTTCACAGTAGTAGCTTGTAGTATTTGTTTATTTATAGCTAAATGACCCTAGTTTGTTTCTTAATATCGTTGTTTTAGATAGGCCTGAAATTAGTTACTTTCATCTTGCAAGACTCTTGTACCTTTTCCCACTATAAGTTGATTTTCTCATAAACATTACACATTTCTTGTTTCTCTTCTCAAGTGACAATACTCAGATTTAACTCAGGTTTAGATGTTGATTAGGAAAGTATTAATTACTTGTAAGATATATGTAGGGTTTATCTAACTATGAAATATCTTTAGGATCTTAACTGTTGTTTCTGCTTTTTAGAAGTTTGGTTGAATGGGGGAATGGGGAATTGCTTTCACCACTTGTTGGCACTATTCACTTAATTTCCTTTCTTTGAGATTGATCCAAGGGACAGGTTTCTTACTTGCTTTTTTTGCATTCAGGAAGTGTGTTATCTGATGATAAATCTGAAAGATAACAGAAGCATTGTTGTAGCTTGTTCTTTTACAGAGATTAAGGAGTTTATTGAAGAAGGAATGAAAAGCTTAGTGAAAAAAAGTCAGTCTGTATATGATGAGTTCTTTACCTGTTATGATACGACCACTTTATTAGGCTTAAAGTTCTCAGACTTTCCAGAAGCAAGGCAGACCTAGTAAGGATTTTTTTTTTTTAATTAACTGTTGTTTTGAGTTCATATTTTTTTTTTCCAAAGACTGTAGGATGGTGACTTTTATTGACTGAAACTTTTAGGTGGGTATTCTTACAAATAAAACTCAGCATCTGTTTGTAATAAGTTCTTTTTTTACCTTCCAGCTTCAGCAGTTGATACAAACTTTACAGCTACAGCAGCAGAAGCCTCAGCCGTCCATCCTGCAGGCCCTGGACGCCGGGCTGGTGGTGCAGCTGCAAGCCCTCACGGCACAGCTCACGGCCGCGGCCGCAGCGGCCAACACGCTGAACCCCCTAGAGCAGGGGGTGCCTTTCAGCAAGGTGGGAATGAAGTTATCACATCTGCACTGTATGCTGTGTCCAGTTGTATGTACTGTCATATGGATTGTAATTCTGTAAATTACCTTTTATTATGGAACTATTGCAATATTCACTGCACTGTGTAAGATAGGAATTTTACAAAAAGTTTAGACTTCTGAAAGAACTCCACTTAAAACATTTAGAATATTCTCTTTTAACTTAGGATAACTAGTTGGTAAAATTGTGTTTTCACCTTTGAGACAAATGATAATTTTCTGAATTTTCTAATTTCTTTTATGACTGTTACAAATACACTAATTTTGATGTTCTGTGTTTTAAAATTTTAACCTGCTAAAATTGTAATGGTTCAAAATGTGGAACTTCAAAGGAGCACTTCTCTACAAGTCGTCAGTATGCTGTAATATTATGTCAGTATGCTGTAATATTATGCTGACTATAAAGAATAATGGTTTTAAAGTTGAAAACCACTCATGTATAATTTATTGTGTGTTAGCCTCAATAGTCTTGTTAATTATGGGAAAATTAAAATACCTTGGAAGTATTATCCATATTATTTTTGCTGCTACTACTATACTTTTTAAGGAAAACAAATGTTGATTTGTTTTGTTACTTGACTTTTTTAGCTAGCACCTTAGTCTAAAAATAAATAGCTAAACCACATAAAAAAAACCCTTTAAATTGGTCATGTAAAAGACAGTAGAGCATTCTAAGAAGAGAAATGTACTGGGAATAGATACCATTGATTATAGTTGTAGGTGTTTTTTTAATCAAGCTTTATTTCCATTGTGAAGCCACTTAATTATTTTAATCCCAATCCTCTATAAAGCATTAGTATTTATTGAGTGTGTTGTGATTTGTTTTGTTACATAAGGCAGTGTATGTCAGAGTACTTTAAAGATCCACTCAGTTAACTGCTTTGTTACAGTATAACATAAGGTTATATAAAACATTTATATATTAAATGGTAGAGGTAAATTAATGAGATGTTATTGACATTCAGAATAGCATTTGTAACATATTTTTATGTGAAGCACCTTTTAATTTGTCTTACTCTTCTTCCCCCCCCCCCCCCCCCTTCTTAGAAGTTGATGGATAGGTTCGATTTTGGGGAAGATTCCGAGCATAGTGAAGAACCTAAAAAGGAAATTTCAGCTTCTCAACTGTAAGAATTTTTTCTTTATAATCATAAACTTTCCCCATTACTATTTTAGACATTGGATGGGATATTACCTTCTGAACCACAAAGTATACTGTGAATAAATGGGGATATAAGTTCAGGCTGTTGAGTGTTCACACTACAGAAAGATGGTAGAATTGTTGTCTTGTTGCCTCTCTCTGTTATTTTGACTCTCAGATCTTTGCAAATATTTGGGATATATCAAAATTCTTTATAGGAAAATTGATAGATATTGATAAATCTAGTTGTGATATTTTCTGTGTATTAGGCTTTACATTATTTAATTCAGTTGCAAGAATATTTCAGTAATAGGAAAGAAGCTTGCTTCTAAAGTCAGTGGCTACTGTAGGGAGTCTGCCATGTCCTGGGAGTGTATCTAAGCAGAAGTAAGGATTAGGATTGTAAGGACTTTGTTTTTTTAAAGATACAGATTGTATGTTTTTATTTAGATTGTTGGTTGTGGGTTTTTTTTTTCCCCCCTCAAATAGTTCTGTGCAGCCCTAGGTTCTTGTGGGTTTGAGAAAAGGCCAGTAGGGAAGAGGATGTTGGAGAGTGGGAGTGTAAAAATTGGGGGTTTGGAGGAGGAGTGATGAATGGGGAGAACACCTCTGGGAATCCTGTTTTAAGTAGAGGTTATTAATTTTGTATATTGGTTTAATAGTTTTAAAAACATTTATATATGTAAAAATATAAATATATCCTTTTGGTAAAGATACTCAAAGAATTAAAAACTAATGTTTTAGATTGTGAATTATAAAGTTAGAGGAGAAATATTTGAGATCACATTAGATCAGTGTCCTGAACAATGTAAGAATCTCCTTTCACGTTTGTAATAAGGTGTTTATGTAATGTTTTAATGCCTTCTATGAAGAGATTAATTTTTGGTTGCTGAGTCTTGTTTGATTTACTTAACACACACTGATCCGTTTCGCATTCTGAAGCAAGGAAACAAATTTGCTCCATTATCTTTTGAGACATAGCCTTTCAATATTTGAAGTTAGGTATCATTCTTCCCCTTAGGTTTATTTGCTCCAGATGAAGTACACTTTTTTTCAACTGTTTCAAGACTTCTCACCATCCTGATTGCCCCTTTTGGGATGCCCTCTTTTTTGTTCATGTCTTACCTTGTGGCACCCAGAATTCCAGGTGTATTCCAGGTGTGAATTTCCCAGAGTATAGTTAAATTATTATTTCCTCTTACCTAAATACTGTTTCTGTTAACATATCTAATAATGTGAATCCTTTTCTAAAGAAAGCAGATTAGTTGTATAAAGTTTAAGGTCAATTACAATTGTAGATTTCACATGTACTGATTGATAGACCATTTCTCCCACTATCTTATAGTTAGAGAAGGAGTTAAAGTGACAGTGTTTAAATACTTTTAACAATTTTTATGTGTTTTCATTGAGATTTTCTTAAAAGCTCTAATGTAAAAAATACTAATTTATATGTATTTAATAGCGTGAGACCATAATAACAGATCTTCCATCAGAGTATCTTTAACATGTTATCCATCTGTTGAAAGACTATTGGAGAGCTTTCTATTTTAACATATTAATGTTCTGAGGTATTCCATTTTCTCTTAATATTTCAAAAGTAAACAGTGTAGTAGAGTATGTTTCATTTAATTGGCATTGAGGGAGTTGAATATTCAGTTATTTTCATATTATCTTTACTGACTTTTAAAATATATATCCACTTGTTTTTTCCTTCTAGTTCTCATGTTTCAGAATCTGTGAACAATTCAATTTTTCATCAGATAGCGGAACAATTACAGCAGCAAAACCTTGAACATCTCAGACAGCAGCTCCTGGAACAGCAACAGCCTCAAAAGGTTTATAACTCCATCTTGTGGCCTTTAGAGTTATTGCTGTCTATATTCTGTAAAGTGGTGCTTCTCAAGTATGGTGATTTTTCTTCAACTTCATTACTAAGAAAATCAGCCTTTTCAGAACCTTTATGTTTTCTGCTATCAGAATGTGTTCTGGATATATGCATGTGCTTGGTATACTAGAGGTGGAGGAAAACAGAGGTAGTGTTTTAATGTTACAACTTACCTTCATGTGCTTTCCTCTCCACTCAGTTCCCTATCAAACAAGGTCATGATGATTTTGCTTTTGTTGATGGTGATGACAGCAAAGTAGATTGCTATTTTTAAGTAGGCTCTTATTGTGTGGAAGGATGTTTATGAGGCATGATTACATTTAATGCTGTGAGTTAGCTTTTTGACACCCATTGTACACTACAGGAAATTGTACCTTAGTGAAATGAAACATCCATTGCAAAAATATACAGCTAATATCATGTTATGATTAGTCTTAAGGTGCACCATTATTTCATGTATAGCTAAGAATTTGAATCACTTTAAGAGTACAACATCCCATGGAGTTACAAGAATCCTCTAAATTATAGGGATAATATGTGAAGAAGAATCACATCTTGGAATTGATAAAGTACATCAAGTGGCAAAAGCAGTATTCATTACAAAGACTATTTTTGCTCTAGATGAGAAATACTCACAAATATAAACTGTTTAGAATAGGACTGTTTTCAAATATCCCCATCACACTTTTTCCTTGTACCTAAAACTTTTTGGCACTAAAATAATACAATAAAATTTTTAAAATATGAGTGAAGCATTGTCAGACAAGTGATATATACAAGATGAACAAAAAAGCATCTAGCTTCAAGTAATCTCTGCTCAAATGGAGTACATACAATATGAACACAGGGCAGAATTTTAGTTCCTGTGACAGTAGGGGTACAAGTGAAGGACAGTGGGAATAAAGACAGAAGAGTTACTTAAAAAGAAATTTTTTTTTTTAACATTTATTTTTGAGAGAAAGAGAGTGCCACAGGGGAGGGGCAGAGAGAGGAAGACAGAATCTGAAGCAGGCGCCAGGCTCTGAGCTGTCAGCGTGGAGCCCAATGTGAGACGTGAACCCACAAACCCTGAGATAATAGCCTGAGCCAAAGTCAGATGCTTAACTGACTGAGCCACCCAGGCACCCCAAAGGGAAAGGTTATTTTAGATTAAAGGGATAGCAAACCTTTAAGACACTGCTGGGATCTGAACTTGTCTTTTTCATGCAAACAGTAAACATAAAATGGATATTAATGGTATTTGCTAGGTTATCTTATTCCTGGAATTATGAGAATGGAATTCTGCAGTATTTTATGTCAGGCAGATAGATCTGCCTGAGTACTCAGGGACTTAAAGGTTGAGTACAACATACAACATTTGGATGTTGTTTAAAGAAAAACACAAGTTGTAAATCAAGGAAAAGAAACAGGTTATTAGTAATGTAATAAAAAATCACAGAGTTGTGGGGCACCTGGGTGGCTCAGTCGGTTAAGCGTTTGACTTCAGCTCACAGTTCCTGGGTTCGAGCCCCACGTCAGGCTCTGTGCTGACAGCTAGCTCAGAGCCTGGAGCCTGCTTCGGATTCTGTATCTCCCTCTCTCTTTGACCCTCCCCTGCTCACGCTGTCCCTCTCTCTCTCTCAGAAATAAATAAAAACATTAAAAAAATTTTTAGAAAAAAATTACAAGAGTTGTTAAAGAGACAGGGGATAATAGTGAAGGATACTTTATCCAAACAACAGATTTTCCAGCTATAAGTGTGACAGTTTTGATTGTCTTAGATCTAGTTTCATTTGAGAAGGTTTAGCAGAAGCAGTAAAATCAAGGTAATACTCTTAAAATTAGCACCAAATTATTGAAGTGAAAATTACTAGAAACCTGAGGGAATGATATGTCTGAAGAATATCACAAGTTAAAAAAATATAGAGCTCTGGTTTTAGTTAATTGCTCTATACCTTATCTACACAATTTTATTTTTTTCCTCCACAATTTTAAAGGATACAGTAATAAGATCCTTTGTTCTTTTTTTTTAATGTTTATTTTTGGGAGAGAGAGATGGTATGAACAGGGGAGGGGCAGAGAGAGGGAGACACGGAATCCAAGCATAGAGCCTGACACGGGGCTCGAACTCACAAACTGCAAGATCATGACCTGAGCTGAAGTCCACCACTTAACTGACTGAGCCACCCAGGTGTCCCAGTAATAAGATACTTTTGAAAGAAGTAAATGTTCCTAAAAGCTTCTGTCCAAAAACGAGTGTTAAAGAAAGGGGATAGTTGAATAAAAGCAACTTTTCAAATACATCAGGTGGATAGTGTTCAAAACCTATGCCAAATTTAGAATCAGAAAGTGTATCAACAGAGTAACCATTCAGTTTAATAAATTGTGTAATTGGCTAACCAGTTGCCTTAGTGTGTTTAAGATAGGGTGAAATATGCAGAAAAAGGAAGCATTTTGTTTACCAGTGAGCTCATTATGGCGGTCTGAAAGTTCTTCTGGTGTCTCAGAGAAAAGAATAGGATTGCTGGTTCCACCACGTTCATTGCAGCCCTGACCACACCTGCATTCAGGTTGAGATCTAGTGTCCTTAACAAGAGAAAAACACTGAAAACAGAGCCCTTCCAGGGAGTGACTGAATTGTGAAGGGAGTGATAGTCATGTCAGAAGGGGGAATGATTGCCGTTTTCTTGAGTAAGTTACAGTTCATGGTATTGGTAATTGTTTCATCAGAATATTCAAAAAATGTCAGGAAGGCTGTAGCTCAAAATGAAATGCTGATAATGAAAATGATATGACTATCAAAAGGGGCTTTTAAAAGAATGTTAGGAATAAAATGATTATGGAAAATTCAACAACTTAATGAAGAACTGTCATATAACTTATTTTGATTCAGTTAACTTTTTATATAAAGGAGAATATATCGAAAAAGTAGAATTGAACATGATAAAACCTAAGAGCCTTGAGCTGCTTTAAATGAGTTGATGTCTTAACTCCTATAAATTGCATTTCATGGTACTGCGGTTGTAGGATTACAGCACAGTCTGTGGGGATTGCAGTAAAGGCTTTGACGAAGTCTTTCCTGTCTCTTATACAGAAAAAAGTGAAGGAATGGAGATCTATAACTGACCAAAATGATCATTTTTATTTTTAATGTATGTTTGTTTGTTTGCTTAGAGAGTGTGTGCAAAAGTAGGGGGAGGGACAGACAGGAGAGAATCCTAAGCAAGCTCCACACTGACAGCTGATCAGCACAGGGCTGATGAGATCATGACTTGAGCTGAAATCAACAGTTGGACACTTAACCCATGGAGCCACTTAGATGTCCCTCAAATTGTGACATTTAATGAGTGTTCATCCAGCCTCGAAGGAAGGCTCTGCTAGCTGCTGTTAATCTTCATCTTCTATTTTTTTTAGTATTGATGGTTTACATGAGGACATCATTGAAGAAAGTACATATGTATACCAGGACATATACTAGATATATACCAATATATCAGAAAAACAGTCATTTGCCACCTGGGTCCAGTGGATCCTTTTTAAACACACTTGGCATCATCTCACAGATAATTTACAGAAGTGAGGCTAAAAAAGATGGGGAAGAAAACTTTATAAGCAATTTTAATATGTGTAATTGAAATGTAGCAATTAAATTGACAGGTCATATGTTCTTAGGGCACCTTGGTGGCTAAGTTGGTTAAGTATCCAACTCTTGATTTCTGTTCAGGTCATGAACTCAGGTTTGTGGGATGGAGCCCCACTTCAGGTTCTGCACTGAGATTGAGGAGCCTGCTTAGTACCCTCTCTTTCCCTCCCTCTCTCCCTCTACCCCTTCCCTGTTCTCTCTGTCTTTCTCTAGATAAGTACACCTAAAAAAATGTCACATGTTCTTTTAGCAAAATAAAACAGTCCAGGTGCTTATTACAAAATGGTGCAAGATAAAGCTCTTCCAGTTATGTGACTAAGCAGATGAAAAGACCCTAGTTTTGTTCTTAGAGACACTTTTTTTTTTTTTGCCATTAGTTTTGGAGTTTAAGAAATACCTTTAAGATGTCATCTGAAAACTCATAGTCTCATATTTCACTTAGATATTAAATTTCACCATCATCATTAGAGTCTAGAATGTTGCTCTTTCTCTGTATTCATCTTTGTTTTATGTAATAATTCTGAAACATGTTCCTCTATCACTTTTCTTCTCTTTGCCACTATGTACAGAAATTGAAAAAATCTAAATATTCAACCAAGACCTTAAAAGCAGAATACAGGGGCACCTGGGTGGCTCAGTTGGTTAAACGTCTGACTTCAGCTCAGGTCATGATCTCACAGTTTGTGGGTTTGAGCCCCGCGTCGGGCTCTGTGCTAACAGCTAGCTCAGAGCCTGGAGCCTGTTTCAGATTCTGTATCTCCCTCTCTCAGACCCTCCCCTGCTCATGCTGTCTCTGTCTCTCTCTCTCTCAGAAATAAATAAAACATAAAAAAAAGTTTTTAAAGCAGAATACAGAGTTAGTGTCTCCACTCTTATTTATACCTTTTTGAAATATACAGTATTTCTGGTAATGCAGTAAAACTGGATGACTATGATTTTATTACACTATTGAATTACCCTTCTTGACCGTTACTTTGCTTTTTCTTTTTTGTATTGTTTTTATCTTTTTTGGGCGGGGGGGAGAGAATGAGAGAGAGAGAGTGTGAGTGGACAAAGGGCATAAAGAGAATCTTAAGCAGGATCCATGCCCAGCATAGTCAATCTCATGACTGTGAGATCATGACTTGAACCTAAATCAAGAGTCAGATACTTAACTGACTGAGCCACCCAGGTGCCCCTATTTTAGTCTGTCTTGAAATAATTGGGAAAAACTGATGAATTACAATAGAAAAATTAGGATGATGAAATAGCAAATGTTTCGATATATATAGGAAAATAAGATCCCAAGACATATCTTAGATATAGGAAAGGGTCTAGTGGATCTAATGCAGCTAATTCAAGAATTTTTAATATAATTTTAATAAAATTAAATTTTAATATAATTTAATATTGAATTTTTAATATAAATTTTCTCTTCATTCCTTATAAGACCTCTAAGAAAGAATAAAGGTCATGAAATTACAGTCTTTCCAAATGGGCAAAAGTCAAGAAACTCAAAAACTAAAATTAGTTGCAGTGGATCTTGGTGGTATACCAAGAATTAAGCTTTAAATAGAAAAATAAGGTGAAGAACAGGGGTGGGTGGATACAAAGCTTAAGATGAATAGAGAAGTAAGAAAAATATGATGTGAAGAATATATGTATACTGAATCAGGACTAAAAAGACTCAGGATGTGGCTAATTATTCCCTTGCCGTGTTAAAAATTCTATTGTTAGTATACTGTTTTTAAAGACATAAGCCAGGACTGTACTAAAAGGTATTTGATTAGTTCTGGAAGAATTTGTTTGCTTACTGACATTTTAGCCAGTGCTGTGATATGTAATAGGTGTTTCACAGAAGTCTTTTCTAATTCCAACTTTAACTTTATTTCCGAATCTTAAAATGTAACTTGTTTTTACAGAACCTTTTCCTTCAAAAATAAGAGATTTGGAATGGTTCTTTAAATGCTCTTTTTGCTCTTAATTTTTAGTTTATTTTTTTTTTCTTTCAGATTAAATGTCATTAGAGTAAGAATTTTTTTTTTTTTTAATGTTATTGAGAGGGCACCTAGGTAGCTCAGTCTGTTAAGCCTCTGTCTTCCGCTCATGTCATGATCTCACGGTTCATGGGTTTGAGCTCAATGTCGGGCTCTCTGCTGTCCTGGAGCCTCCTTCAGATTCTGTGTCTCCCTCTCACCCTGCCCCACTCTTGATCATGTTCTGTTTCTCTTTCTCTCAAAAATAAACAAACATATAAAAATGTTATTAAGATATAATTGACATATAACTATGTAAGTTTAAGGTGTACAACATAATGATTTGATAGATTTATGTATTCCAATTAGCTATGACCTCTATCATGTCTTAAAACTATCATTTCTTTCTGGGAACAGTTAAGATCTAGTCTCTTCACAACTTTGAAGTTTATAATACACTATTGTCTGTAGTCTCTGTGCTGGTATTCCTCGTACAGATGGGACTAAAGTTCACAATTCAAGTAACTTGTTCACAATCACAGAGTTTGTATCAAAGGAACAGTATTTTTGAGTTGCTCTTCTGTTAATTATTACAGTAGCTCCTAGCTTGTGTACTGCCAGGAACTATTTTTATTAATCTTCAACACCTGGGAAGATGCTTTAGGAAAGTTTATGTAGGGAGACTTTTTCATAACTAGTTTTCTCATTTTTGGTTAACACCATAGTATATGTAATTGCTGAATCAGGTTAATACTAATAAATATCATGTAAGCAGTGTCACTGTATCATGTTGCTGTGAATCTAGACCCAGCAAAAATAAAAGGGGGGGTGTGTGGAACATTTTAAGTGTTCCTTTAATTAGTCTTCAGTGCCTAACTTTTATTAGTTTCAGAAATGTATTATATATCAGAGTACTTCTTAATATTATGTTGCAAATTCCTAGAGATGGAGGTTGAGGAAGGCCCAAGTTAGGAACTGTTTTGCTAGATCAATTAATTTGATAATGGTATTTGAGCTTTGTTTTGCTTTTATACATGTAATATATGACTTAGTTCCTTAATATACAGTATTTTAATATTAAAAGTATTGTTGCATTTTATAAAAATGCTAATTGCCAATGAAATTCTGGATTCATTTAACTTGGTGACATTATATGTTATTCATGATATAATCCCTTTATGAATTCTTGGAAGTATGTTTATATTTTTACACAATTTAAAAATTTGAAGACCTACTTGATCTTACCATTCTAGTCTAATACATTTTTCTCCCCCATTTATGGAGATGTCCCGTGCTCTTCAGTAAACTTGGATTTCTACAAAACTGTAATTTTAGGTTGATTAACATGGGATTTCTCTATGTATTGGCCTCCTTTTTAAAACTTTGTGATGTATGCGTGTCTAAATTGTTTTGTAATAATATGCATACTTTGCTAATGTTTGTGTGTTTGTATACATTCTCAATAGGCAACCCCTCAGGATAGTCAAGAAGGAACATTTGGATCAGAGCATTCTGCATCACCATCACAAGGGAGCAGTCAACAGCATTTCCTCGAACCTGAAGCAAATTTGGATGATTCTATAGATATTCAACAACAGGTAAAAAGTAAATGTTTCTCCAGGTCATAAGTTTCTAAAATTAATTAGAGAAATTTAATTAATTAAACTTACTTATATAAAATAGTTTTTATATAAAATACTGGTAATGTCCTAAATATTTTTTCCTCACACTTAAGCTCTACACTAACCATTTTACTATTAGGCATTGGTACTACTATGGTGAATATTTTATAAGGCAGAAATGTCCATATATACTAAATTTCAATCAGGCATTTAGTTTGCTGTTCTTTTGACTTTCAAGGACATGGATATAGATGAAGGGCAAGATGGAGTGGAAGAGGAGATCTTCGAACAAGAAGCAAAGAAAGTGGCTGTTCGCTCAAGATCAAGAACACATTCACGTTCTCGTTCAAGGTTCTACAATAATAATTAAGAATAGCTGTGTGTGAACTTTTAAATGTTGGGTCTATTTCCTTGTATCAAAATTAAAGGAAATGGTTTTCTTAGAATGGCATTTTATATTCAGAAGCAATTAGAATTTCAGAAACAGAAAAATACACTCTTTTTTTAATTAGAAATATCTATGGCCATTTATCTGAATAATATACATTAATTGCAGCCATTATAAGACTGGGATTTTGGATTATACCTGATTTTAGTTAATAATATTTTGATGACCCCCAGCTTAGGATATTATTGCCTCTATAAACTATAAATCAAACTTATAGAGGAACGGTGTTAGACGTCCCATTTTATGTCTTATATTTTGTTTCATCTTTATAATAATACCAAAATGATCATAAAAATAAAACCATAAGGATTATCTTTATAAACATTAAACATAGTATCATATTATTATAAAATATATAATTTTTCTTTGTGGTTTTCTTTTGTGGGCTTTTCAACATGACTAAGGCTCATTAATGTACGTGCTTATTCAAGTTTGAGTTGAAGATTCCTTAACCTGTTAATTCTCATGTAAATATACATTGCTTTTACTACATATTGTCTTAAAGTCATTCATCTTTAATATTAATATAACCTATTTTTTGCACATTAATACCCCTGAAAATCTGAACAGTATATGCTGGAAGAGGAGCAGTATCTTTGATGGCTTTTTCAGTCATTTCTTACATGTTTCAAGAAGTTATTTGTATTTACCTCTGGTAAATGAGAACCTGTCTGTTCACCTTTCTCTAAACCCATCTCATGTCATTGAATAATCTTGCTAAAGCAGAAGCAAGTGTTAGAGCTGAACTCTTAGCAGGTTCCTTGTCTTAACAGCCTCTCCTTATTAAGCATTTTGAAGCAGTGCTCTGGCTAATGGTTGATAGGAAGAAAAGAAACCGTGTTTCCATATCACATTATATTGTAAAGTCAAGCACCTTGAAATTTTAGACGTTGAAAACTTAAAAGCAGAAATTTTTAGTGGCCTAATGCTCTGTTGGAAACATTCTCTGTTCTCTCATTTTAAAAATGTAACATCCTCATCACCTAAGGAATCTTTATTTTCTTCAGTCTTTCATCCCTATTCTTGACTTTTGTTTGAAAAATGAGTTGGAAGAGACTAAGGAAAGTAAGGCCCTTACTAGAGTCTCACTCTCTTCTTCCTGGTCTCAGTAAGAATCATTGTAGATAAACATCTCTTACTAAAGTGTGGGCCTGAGCAGTTCATAGATTTGAGAAAATGCATGTTTGACACTTCACTATACTTAAACATTTTTTAAGAGGTAGCTAAACATAAGACAACCTTTCTGTGTGTGTCTTTTGTCCTTACCTAGAAGTGAGAAATTTGATAGAAGAATAATATTGTCATTAGAAGTAAAATCAGATTTTTTTTGGTAGATCGCCAAGAAAACGAAGGTCTCGGTCGCGATCTGGTTCTCGAAAGCGTAAACACAGAAAGCGATCACGCTCACGCTCGAGAGAAAGAAAGAGGAAATCATCACGTTCATACTCAAGTGAAAGGAGAGCAAGAGAAAGGGAGAAAGAACGACAGAAGAAGGGATTACCTCCAATTAGATCTAAAACATTAAGTGGTGAGTGACATACTTTTATAAAGCTTTGGTTTCAACGAAAATTAAGAATTATGAACTGCTAAAGCCAACTGTATTTGTAGACTAAGAAACTGGAAAGTAGTTTGGTAAGTGAATAATTTTATCCCGGTTTTTGTAATGTGAGAGAGTAGAAAAGAAAAGGAAAAGCAGGTTCTACTGAAACACTAAGATCACTGAGAGTTGATTTTTTTTTTTTTAACGCAAGTTAGAAAATCTAGAACTTTAATGATAATATAAAGTGGATTAGGCCTACTGTCTATTATGTAGACACTGTGATTTCTATTCATAGTGTTGTAACCAAGTATGACCACCACATCTGGGGAGTAATTATTGAAGGAATCATGTAAATTTTAAAGCTAATTATAAACTTACTAGATCAGCACTGAGGGAGAGATTCCCATTGTACAAACTTTCCCTCCTTTATATGTTAATCTGTACTATATAATTACAACAAATTTGATAGTAGTGAGAGTTTGGGGAGAGTTCACTTGGTGGGAATGTGAGTGGTAATTAGTGCCAGATTCTTCCTGAAGAATCCTAGTGGGTTATGATTTCTAAGGTGAATAAACAGACTACAGAGGGGCAAAGTACATGAAATGGAGCAATTTTTCATTCTCTGAACATCAGAGAATCAGCTAAACACTGAGAATCTCTGATCAATCAGCTGAACACTGAGCTGGTTGTCTGATTTCTTGAGGTTTCCAAATAAATTCTTTGCCATGAGATAAATAATTGGTAAACTGGAGCATCCTGGAAATACAGGCTTATAAGTAAAGGCAGCATCCATCTTACTAAGTTCTGGCAATTTGAGCAAGCTATGGCTATCTTGCCAGATGCTTACCTGATTATGAAAGCCAGTATTAATTTAATAATGTCGATATTCCTAACTCAGAGTTTCTGTTTGTCCCTTTAGGGTGAGAAACCAAATTCAAACATTTTAGTGGTGTCTGAAAAAGAAATACCATCAAAAGTGTGACCATAAAATTTCTGTGCCTTCTCCCATGATTACTGTTAGGACATTCAGAATCTTCAGCTTTAGGACAGGACTTTTATAAACATGGAGTCTCTTTCATTTAGTTCCTTGCTTTACTTATCATATTACAGCTGCCACCATTTACACAGTTACTGAGCATGGAGTTTCTTTTCTATTATAGTGGGCTTTTTTATGGGTAAAGCACAATAAAGAAGAAAAATAAGAAAGTACATAAGAAAATACAGTAAAAATATAGGGACACCTCGGTTGGCTAAGTGTCCGACTCCAGCTCAGGTCATGATCTCACAGTTCAAGAGTTCGAGCCCTGCATTGGGTTCTGTGCTGACAGCTCAGAGCCTGGAGCCTGCTGTGGATTCTGTGTCTCCCTCTCTCTGCCTCTCCCCTGCTGTCTTTTTTTTGTTGTTGTTGTTATCAAAAATAAACATTAAGAAAAGGAAAGAAAATACAGTGAAAAGTATGTCCTTCTTTTTTTTTTTTACCTGAAAACTCTCCTTACTCCAAAGCAATGTCAATTTCATATGGCCCCAGCACATTTTAAACACTTCAGGTAGTATTTCCCTACCCTTGGTTCTTAGAACACAAGCATATTTGTGACTAGTCCAGTGGATATGAAACATCAACAAGCAGTTATAGTCTAAGAATCTGTGTTCTCTCCTCATGGGATGAGGGAGGTTCTTTATTACTGTTTGGATTTAAAAAAGTTGTCAGTGGGAAAAATTTATAGAGAAACTACCTTAAAACAGTAGGGGAAACATGGAAAATATTTCAGGGAGATTAAAGCAGCTGTGATGTGGGGGACAGAATACTGAAGAGGTTGAAACTACTCAGTGAAAGAGGTCCAGAAATTTCCTGCGGGTTTGTGGTAGGTAGTTGAATAACAGTCCTCCGAAGATATTCACATCCAGATCACTGGTACGTTTAAATATGCTACATTACATGGTAAAAGGAACTTTGCAGATCAGATTAATCAGGATCTTGGGGTGAGAAGATTAACTTGAATTATCCAGAAGGGTCCAGTGTAACTCAAGGGTCCTTATAGGAAGGATATAAGAGAGTCAGAAAAGGTGATGTGAAGGGGAAAGGAGAAAAACAAAGATAGGTAAATGCTCAACTGTTGGCTTTGAAGATGGAAGTTGGAGTCATGAGCCAAGGAATGCAGACAGCTTGTAGAAACTAGCAAAGTCAAGGAAATAAATTCTCCCCTAGAGTCTTCAGAAAGAATGTAGGCTTGTTGACCCATTTTAGACTGCCAGAACTCTAAGAGATTACATTTTTGTGTTTTAAGCTACTAAGCTTGTGATATTTTGTTACAACAATAGAATAAAGCTAACATATTGCTGCTGGAGACTTTGGTTAAATATTATGTGTTTATGTATATAAATATAACGTTACCAGGGAATCTGTTAGCTGAACGATTCCTAAAGCTAACACAGGTCTGGAAGAAGGACATTTGAGTTCAAACCAGCTGAGATAAAGAAACCTGGTTGAAAACCTTCATTCAGTAGAGCTCTTGCAGTGGTCACATCATAGGGTGGCACTGAAATTAGCTATCTAGAGCAAAACCTGCTGTAGGCCTGCCCTATAATGATAAAAGAGCATCAGAACGCTGGAAACTTCGTTTTTAAAAATGACATTGATTTAATCTAAATTTATTGAAACTCCACAAATACATCAGCTTTTGTTAACATTTTACAAGTAAGTGTCCTCAGGAAAAGGAAATGTTCATGGATGCATGAACCGTACACATTTAAGTAGGTAAGATATCTCATGTGTAGCTTGTTTCTTAAAGGGAAGTGGTATCCCATACCAACTTAAAGTATCTTTTAAGTTTTTCATGATAACAAGTTCTAATTTAGACGTTTTCCCTTTGTATCTCCATGGAAATTATTTCCTTAAGGATAAGGTGGCGTTTTCAGATTCAACTGTTGATTAGAAAGAAACATCTGCTTAATCATTCCAGCAGAGAAAGATTAAACATACACAGCTAGGATTGCAGTGAAGTGTTTTTGTGACTTTGTTGCACATTAGGATTACTTACAGAATTTTAAAACTCCCAGTTCCCATCTATCATACCCCATAACCCTTCTTCTTTTAGGGTGAGACCCAGGTATCCACAAGTGATTAAAGTGTGCAGCCAAGCTTGAGAACAGGTAACACACGAGGTTGATTTATAATAGATGTGGATGGATACCTGGGATTTTAGTTCATTTTAAGTGTAGCAAATAAAAATGTCACTTAAGTTTTAACTATCCATCTTAAGTTATTATTATTAGTGCTTTTTCCTGAGCTGCTTGCAAAAAGTAACTGTCTCTGTGATTTAGAACATTTGTCTCTTTTATGTCTTGACAGTATGTAGTACTACTTTATGGGTTGGCCAGGTGGATAAGAAGGCAACCCAGCAAGATTTAACCAATCTGTTTGAAGAGTTTGGACAAATTGAATCCATTAATGTAAGTAGCACTTCTTATGACAACAGTTTAAGGTTAAAAACAAACATATAGAAGATTTTCACACATACAAAGACTCACTTTGGTTCCTAATTAGCCCAGTAGTGTCTGCCTTTTTAATATTGCACACCTTTACAAGGATTATTTGACTTAAATCATTTCATGTTTATTTCTTTTGCCATTTATCTCCTTAAATAATTTTGTCTATTTAGTGGATTCTAACAAAATCCTCTTAGGGGTTTATAGCAGTATAGCACTTGGTTCCTAAAGTCATCAAATGTTTGGGTTAGCAGGAACCCTATGTGTGACCTTATTTAATTTCTTTTTTTTTTTTTTTTTTTTTAAATAATGAAAATGAGGAAACTGAGTCCCACAGAATTGTAATCCCTGCACATGAGCACATGGGTAGTAGTGGAGACACAATTGGACTTGGGGACCCAGTCTTTTACCAGTCCCCTCACTCTTCCCCATCTCCTTCTCACAGCCAACCTGCCCAAATCTGTGTGGCCACAGTGTCTCCAGTCAAGTTATGGTAACTTGACCATAACTCTTTCACTTCTCAACTCCATTCTTGCAGTGCTTTGGCCCCACCCAGTCTCCTTTTTTAAGTATTTTTTTCCTCCTGAAGGTCTATTGTATTTCCCTGAGGCTAAAACTAAGTAATGGAATGTTTTACGTTTATTTGTTTGAGGAGCTTTCTAATTCATTAGCTCTCTGATTGTATTCACTGTTGTTAGACTTTTATGTCTGTTTGGACCTTTTGTCATTATTTACCAGGAAATTGGCTCATTTTCCTTTCTAGTCTTAGATCTCAGCATTCCTCAAATGGCCTAATTTTACTTTTCCATATTAATAACAGCATTCTTCATATGAATTGACCATTTCATGTACTGCTTTCAACTGTATATGATCTCTTTGGAATCTCACAAGAAGCTGGTTAAATAATTCCCATATTGTTATTTTACCAGTGATGAATCTAAGTGATTCGCCTGAGTTACACAGACAATAAATAGATGATTGGTTGAGTGTTTCAACTTAGGAGTTTCATATTCCTCTTTCTACACCATGAGAATGTTGTAGGCTTTTCTTAATCTTTGGTTTTTTTAAATTGCACCTGTCAAAACATAACCATTAGAGTCCTTGATCATATAGCCTCTGATTTTTGCCTTAGCTGAGATATCAGAAATGTGTTGATATTTGAAAAAATAGGGATGCGCAAGATCAGTGTCTTTAGGTTCTTATCAAAGTGTCCCAGCTTACACAGGTGATTGCAATGCAGAGTCAGGAATCACTACTCTGAGTAGATGCTGAATCCAAGTAGCATTTGGATTGTCATAATACTTGTGACATTTGTAGTCTTTCTTGTTCCACAGTCATTTGGACATTAGTTTGCCTTGATTCTCCCCCTCTTCTGTATTATCTTTTTTTAAAAATATTTTTATTTTTGAAAGAGAGAGAGAGAGAGAGAGATCAAAGGAGGGGCAGAGAGAAATGGAGACAGACTCCAAAGCAGGCTCCAGGCTCTGAGCTGTCAACACAAAGCCCACCATGGGACTCAAACCCATGAACTGCGAGATTTTGACCTCAACAGAAATTGGACACTTAGCCTGCTAAGCCACCCAGGCACCCCTGTATTAACCTTTAAAGAGCATACAACTTATAAACAGTAGGCACCGAGTTATTTTGTGAACTGAAAATACATTGAATGGCTAATGATAAAATCCAGGATTTGAATATTAGATGGAAAATTTATAAGCCTTTCACTTGGCTTTGGGGGAGTTTGAGAACTGAGTAAAAAGTCTGTTAGATTTATCACTTAGTGAACTTGAAGAAATTTTCAGTACATTGATAAAGAGTTGGATCTATATTGTAAAAGGTGAAGAAGTATATATGGGGTTAGATAGACTTCTCTTTTGAGAAGTTTGGGAGTAAAGTTTGGAAAGTAGCTTGAAATGAACTCCAAGTGAAAGTGAAAACACTGAGGCAATTTTATTATTCATGGTAAAACCTTTATCTAGAAGCACTTGGACAAAATGAAGTTTTATACATTTGAAGTGCTTTAGTTTTATCATTAGTTATAGATTATAGATTTTATATTAAGGATAAGATACTTCCCTAAATAAAAATCTTTCTCATATTACTCAGTATAACACTTGGAAACATTGAAGTTACTACTGTGAATAAATTCTTTGCTTTCAATTATGTTGGCCATACAATATTATTTTCTTTTTATCTGGTGGTGTTGTATCCATATCTTTTTACATGTTTAAAAATTTCTTTATTGTGCATTAGGAAAACTTTGGGATGTGATAATCAAGATTTTGCTTATGTTACGGCTTAGAGTGAGACCCAAATAGGTTTTGAATTTTTTTTTAACTAAGTAATTGGTTGTACATGGATTGTACCAGTAAGTAGCCAAAGGGAGAAGGGAAAACCATTCAGTATTAGTATGATCTATTTCATTAAAACCATAAAATAATGCCAGAATGAATTGCCTTACTTAACACTCTATCTAAAGAAAAAATTTTTCTTAATAGATGATTCCTCCCAGGGGCTGTGCATATGTCTGCATGGTTCACCGACAAGATGCTTTTCGGGCTCTTCAGAAACTTAGTTCTGGATCATATAAAATTGGGTCCAAGGTCATCAAGGTAAGATTGGAGAGGGGGGACCCATGCTCTTGTTTTATTGAATTATTAGAATGTATATTATTAGAATTATATATTTGATTCATCTTTGTTTTTTAACGTTATTGGAAAACCTCTAGGAAATTTCATTATTTCAGTATTGTTGGGTTATAGAATTAGACATAGGTATAGCAGTGACTAAGACTTTACTCCAGTGATTCTTTGAAATCATACTTGTAATTCTCTTAGTCACCCAGGGCACCATTTTATGAGCAGAACTTTCTCATTTTTACAAGTTTATCTTTTTTTAATAAGATTTTTTAAAAGAAATTTTAAATAATCTCCATACTCAAAGTAATCTCCACACCCAAAATGGGACTCAAACCTACAACCCTGAGATCGAGAGTTATGCACTCCACCGACTGAGCAGCCAGGCACACCAACAAGTTTATCTTTATTCCCTTCTTCTTCCCAGTGCTTTCTAATCATACCTCTTAATTATATTATTTTCTCCTTTTTCACGTCTTGTGTTATACATCAAAGGCACTGTGAAGGGCTTATTGATGAGTATAGTTTGTTTTCCTTCTACCTTTATAAACTGTTTATTGTGTATTTTTCTTGTGACATTTTATTTCTGCTACTTGGAGATAATTTATTCCATCAGTTTCTGCAACCGAGTTAAAAACTTTAAAGTAACTACTTTCAAGGTTATGCCCATGGTTTGTCGTTTCATGGCAGAGAATTTCTTTGTGTAAACTAAGTTGTCTCCTTTTCTGGACTACCAAGATTCTATTTAAATTATGACAACTATTCTAATTATTGCTAATGTAGGTTGATTTTTTCTTTTTTAATTTTTTAAATGTTTTTATTTATTTCTGAGAGAGAAAGACAGTGTGAGCAGGGGAGGGTCAAAGAGAGAGGGAGACACAGAATCCGAAGCAGGCTCCAGGCTCTGAGCTAGCTGTCAGCACAGAGCCTAACATGGGGCTCGAACCCACAACCGTGAGATCATGACCTGAGCTGAAGTCGGACACTTAACCGACTGAGTCACCCAGGCACCCCTGTAGGTTGACTTTTTTATGGTGAAAAGTAGATTTGATTGTTTCTGGAAATGTGTTTTTTAAGTTTTAGTAAAAAGTGGAATAAATCCCATGTTATGAATGTCATTGCTTTCTAATGCAGGCTTTATTTTAAAACAGGCTTTATTTTAAAACAAAAACAGGACATACATGGAAAAACTTTTTTTGCCTACTGTTATTTTTCTAGTATCCAGTGATGCTTTGCTGTCCAACTAATTTCATTCACATTGTTTACATATAATTTTCAATATTTTACCCTGTTTTTATAGTATATCTGAGTTCTCATTTGTTTCTTCATTCCTGATAGATTGCTTGGGCTTTAAACAAAGGTGTAAAAACAGAATATAAACAATTCTGGGATGTGGATCTTGGAGTTACATACATACCATGGGAAAAAGTTAAAGTGGACGACTTGGAAGGTTTTGCAGAAGGAGGCATGATTGACCAGGAAACAGTAAATACTGGTAAGAACATTAGAGGTAGTTTTATTGTTTTAAAAAAAAGTATGCCTAAAAGGTTGTAATTGATAAGAGTTTTGCACGATAAGGTGATTTGTGTGTATTTCCTGGATACTAAAGCCCCCCTCCTCCCAAAGAAGAAAACAGAAGCACTGCCTTTTCCAGTGTATATGCCTAATGGGTGTTATTTCAGAAGTGTCTGAGAATCGTGTTTAGAAGTCTATAAATGGACCATTTTTCTTGTATGTGTTTTAAAAAGTTTTGCACTTTTAAAAACTAAATATTTCAATTCTTTGCATTTAAATAAGAATTGGGGACTTAAGATGTTTCTTTGAAAAACTTCCTAGGTTATTTTGATTAGTATCCATGTTGAGAATGGCAGAAATAGAATGTTTAGGGGCACCTGGGTGGCTTAGTCGGTTGAGTGTCCGACTTTCGCTTAGGTCATGATCTCGCGGATCGTGGGTTCGAGCCCCGTGTCGGGCTCTCTGCTGACTGCCAGCTCAGAGCCTGGAGCCTGTTTCAGTCTGTGACTCCCTCTCTCTCTGACCCTCCCCTGCTCACGCTGTCTCTCTCTCTCTCCTAGAAATAAATAAAAACATTAAAAAAAAAAAAAAGAAATAGAATGTTTGGAGAGCTGTAGTTCTGATTTCTATAATTCTAGAATGCTTCTAACCAAATGATCATCTTGTCTATTTTTTGTGTTTTTATTTTTAAAAATACCAGTTACAAATCCACAAAATGATTAGCATTTATAATCAGTAAGATATCTTAAAATAGATACTTGAGAAAATAATTGATATGTGGTATATGTAGCTTTTATTTCTTCATATCTTAGCTCTTTTACCAAAATCAGCTAATTTTCGGGGTATTTTCTTTCTCAGGCCAACGCACATATTTTCCAAATACTTTTTCAGTGTTTTCTTCTTGTCGGTCTTCCCCCCCTTCCCCCCTCCCACCTTGATGGATATTCCTCTAAAACATTTATTCATTCAGTAAATATTTTCATTTCAGTCGCGTGCCAGCCATGATTTTAGGAACTGGGATTATACCAGTGAGACAAAAATCCTTCCTCTCATTGCATGCACATTGTAGTACAGGTGAAGACAGCCTGTAGGCTGTAGGTCATATTCTGCTGGCAGGCTAGTCTGTTAAATTTTATTGAAACACAGCTGTGCTCACTTACGTTTGCTTATTTTATGTGACTATTTTTTTTTCAACAGCAGTTGAGTAGTTGCAACAGAGAACATATGGTCCACAAAGTCTAAAGTACTTACTATAGGGAAAATTTGCCAACCCATGTTCTAGTGGAAAGAAACATACAATAAAATAGGTAAACTAAATAGTATTTCTATGTTGATAAGTTCTTAGAGGAAAAAGCAGGGAGCAGGGAGGGGGGATATAGACAGTATTGGTGTAGAACAATGCAGTTTTATATAGTTGAGGAAGATCTAATGGAGAGTGAGATTTGAAGGAGTGAGATGTGCAGCTATCTGGAGAAAGCACATTCTATACAGAGGGCACAGTAAGTGCAAAGTCTATTCAAAAATTATGAGACACCAGTATGGATTGAACAAAGTTAGTGACTTAGAGTAGTAGGAGGTAGAGTCAGAGAGATGTACAGAGAAACAGAGTCCTATAGAAGTCTTATTAGTCATCATAATGACTATGATCTTTACTCTGAAGGAGCTAGAGAACCATTGGAAGAACCAGGAGAGCTTCTTTGTTTTATTTTGTGTAACTGTATTTTCAGAAAGATATTTAAAAAATTTTTTTAAACATTTATTTATTTTTGAGAGACAGAGCATGAGTGGGGGTGGGAGGGGAGTAGAGAGAGAGGGAGATACAGAATCTGATGCAGGCCCCAGGCTCTGAGCTATCAGCACAGAGCCCAACACAGGGCTTGAAACCACAAACTGCGAGATTATGACCTGATCCAAAGTTGGACGCTTAACTAACTGAGCCACCCAGGTGCCCCAGAAAAGATTTTTCTTTATTGGATTAATACTTTCCTTGTTGGTCTCCCCTTGTATCTTGTGACACAATATAGAAAAAGATTGGTTCCTCTTATGTCAGATAGATAGCCTTTGAGACCTGTCTCTATTATATCCTAAGTGTTCTCTCTAAACTAAATATTTTAGTGTCTTTCATTTGTGTCTTGTGTCCTGCCTTTTTGGATTCCTTCGTGTTCTCATTAGATTTATAATGGCAAAACCTAGGTTGGCACTTTTTATAATTGTGGACATATCTTAAAGATGTGCCAAGGTAGATAAAAGACTTAGAGATGAAATAAATGTATACATAGAAATAAAATGAAAATTTTGCACCTATACAGAGGAAATCAATTTCAAATATTTTGTTTAGAGTGGGAAACTGTGAAAAGCTCAGAACCTGTTAAAGAGACAGTCCAGACAACTCAGAGCCCACCTCCGGTTGAAAAGGAGACAGTGGTCACAACCCAGGCAGAGGTTTTTCCTCCACCTGTTGCTATGTTACAGGTTAGTGCTGGGTGTTTCTGTTTCTATTATTGTTAACGTGTTGCCTTATACTTATGTGTTTACTCATGTGTTGACTTTATACAACTTGGAAGAAATTGTCCAAAATAGAGTAAATATGAGTTTAGTCCAACAAGTTTGAGAAAAGAAATATTTTTTAGAAATGGTGTCCTATATGTTTAAATATTCATTTATTGTGTAAATATTTATCTGTTGCCTGCTTCTAGGACATTCACTGTTCTAGGCACCCAGGATAAGGATACATGAGTGGAAAACACCACACAAAAATCCCTGCCTTTAAGCAGCTTTTGTTTTCAATAGGGGAGATAGAAAAATGCTTGCATTTTCTTGATGAGTGGGTTGTGAGGTATTATAGAAGGAAAAGGAAGAAGTATAAGGATTATCAAGAGTGCCTGGACAGGTGCTTAGGATTTTTAAATCGTCAGAGTAGACTTAATTGAAAATGTGAGATTTGAACAACAGTTACTGAGGGAATTAACCACATGGGTACCTGAGGAAGAGCATTCGAGGTAGAAGGAACAGGCAGTGAAAGCCGTAGGCTAGGAGCGTGCTTGGTGCATTCCAGGAATAGCAAGTGGGCTAGAGTGAAGTGAATAAGAGGCAGCTTAGTAGAAGTGAGATCTCTAGAAGGGCTTTGGTTTTCACTCTGAGATGGGGCATTGCTGCAGGATTTTGAAGAAAGGAGTGACTTGATCTGGCTTTAAAGCCTTTAAAAGATCTGGTTAAAGGACTGCACTGGCTGCTATTTTGAGAATAGACTAGTGGGCATTAGTAAGAGAGCAGGGAGACCAGTGAAGAGAGACAGTTGCAGCAATCCAGATGAGAGTGGATGGTGGCTCATGGACTGTTGGCAATGAAGGGATTCCAAAGTGCTCAGATACTAGGGGTCTAGTAGTGATGGTGTGTTGAGTGAGGCTTTGTGACATGTTTAGATTGGAGTTGTGAGAAAGAGAAGAGGCAAGATTTTTGGTTTGCAAAATTGGAAAGATGAAGATATTATCTGAGTAGGGGAAGGACAAGGAGTTCAGTTTTGTGCATGTGAAATTTGGAGTCTTTCAGACAACAAACTTGAGATGTTGAATGGACCACTGATATATGTGAAATTTAGGAAAGGGGTATACCCATAGTACAAGTAAATATTTGAGAATTACTGTGTCCAGCATGAGTACAAAATATTTATGCTAGGAGTAGAAAATTAACTTAGGAGAAATTGAAGCCATTTTGAAACTGTTACTGACAGGTTTCCTAATGGTTAGGTTGCTTACCATGTATAGGTATTATAAACTTAGTGGGGGATGGCAGTTGAAAACTGTCATGATATTCATTCTTCAAGTCAGTGCCCATTACTGTACATCACTTGAATGTGAAATAGATTTCAGCCTCCAGGTATACTATTTGTTGACAATGGTACCTTGCTTTTACCTCAAGTTAGGGTCACTTAACAAGTGTCCAAAAAGGAAAATAACAAGACAACTTAATACAGTGTGGTTTTTGTTATCTCCTTAGAAATAAATAGAAATAATTTACCTTTAGTTGTTCCAAGATGTAATCATTGCAGATGGATAAAATAATTTATGGACTTTTTATTTTCTATTCACAAAAGATTCCAGTAGCTCCAGCTGTGCCTACAGTTAGTTTAGTTCCACCAGCATTTCCGGTCTCCATGCCGGTTCCTCCTCCTGGATTCAGTCCCATCCCTCCACCTCCTTTTCTGCGAGCGAGTTTTAACCCTTCACAACCACCTCCTGGTAAGGAATTTTCATCTTATTATGTGTACTCTACTTAGAATATCATTTAAATTGTTATTTTTCCAGGTTAAAATGCTGCATAGAGCATCAGTTCTCAAACCTTAGCATACATAGGGGTCCCTCAGAGCGCATGTTGAAGCAAAGAGTACTGGGCCTGGCCTCCTGTTGATTCACTAAGACTGAGGTGGGGCAGGACCATTGCATTTCTAACAAGTTCCCAGGTGATGCACATGGTTGGTGGACCATACGTTAAGAAGCACAGATGAGAAAAAAATGGAATTCTTTAAAAGCATTGAAATACTCTTAAAATAATTTAAAATTTATGTTGCGTTTTTTATATCAGAATTCTCTGTAGTTATCACCTATGCATCAGGAAGTATGCATTAAATTATATAGATTGTTGTTCCTAAAAATCATTAGGTTTTAATTTTCAGGAAATTAGTGTATCTTAAAATGCCAATTGAATTTGTAATACTTATTTTGATAAAAGTTTCTTGAATCAACATTTCTAGTTTAAAAACTAGAGATTACTTGACATATGTCAATTAAATATAATAATAGCTTATATAGCTTAGAGTTTTAAGCGTCAGACCATGGCAGGTTAGAAGAATGAAAGTAAAGCACAAAGGATTAAATGATATGTATTGTTTTTCAAAAAGCTGTTTTTACCTTTCTTTGAATTTCATAGATGATTTGCATATTGTAAGAAAAGAACTTTGATTTCTATAATTTAAGTTCGTAGCCATTCCTAAAACAGTCAACAAGGCCAAAAGTAAATTCATTGTCTGAGAATGGTTGTAATTTATTTGCCATGTAACATAAAATGTTCACATTATAATAAAATATGTAATTAGGTATTAATGTAGATTTTATAAGAATTTTATCTTTTTTGTATTTTAAAGATTGGAAGATTACTCTTGTCAGTTATTTTCTGTATTTGAAATCTGAATTAAAAGTTTTTTTTCAAGGCCACCTGGGTGGCTAATTTGGTTAAGTATCTGACTTCGGCTCAGGTCATGATCTCACAGTTTGTGGGTTCTAGCCCCACATTGGGCTCTCTGCTGACACCTCAGAGCCTGAAGCCTGCATGAATTCTGTGTCTCCCTCCCTCTCTGCCCCTCCGCATCTTGCGTTCTATCTGTCTCTAAAGTAAAATAAACATTAAAAATTTTTTTCAAAAAAATTATTTTTCAGAAGATCATTTTAGGTGGTTAATTCATACCACGTTGGCTTTATAGAATCATTGTCTAGCATTTATTTGTTGATAATCAGTATTTTTAGCCACTTTTTTTTAATGTTTATTTATTTTGAGAGAGAGAGTATGCTTAAGAGGAGGGGAGGTACAGAGAGAGAGGGAGAAAGAGAGAAAATCTCAAGCAGGCTCTGCATTGTCAGCACAGAGCCTGACATGGAGCTCAGTCTCATGAGCCATGAGTCAAATCACCTGAACTGAAATCAAGAGTCAGACACTTAACTGACTGAGCCACCCAGGCACCCCTTTAGTCACTGTTTTTTAATTGAATTGAATGGTAGCTCTGTATTTTTAAAAAATTTTTTTGAATGTTGAATTATTTCTGTGAGAGAGTGTGCAAGCAGGGGAGGCACAGAGAGAGAGAGAGAGAGAGAGAAAATCCAAGGCAGGCTCCAGGCTCTGAGCTGGCAGCACAGAGTCCAGCGCAGGACTCAAACTCAGAAACTGCAAGATCATGACCTGAGCTAAAGTCAGACGCTCAACCCACTGAGCCACCCACCTCTGGTAGTTCTGTATTTTAACAACACAAGGAAACAGGCTTATTTTTTGATCATTTGACATTTAAATTTATTAAAAGTCAATATTTAAGTTGAAGATTTATTTCAGTCCTCAAAGCATAAGATAATAACATCCAAAGATAGTGGAATTATTTTGATCTAGTAGATAAACAGCATATTTAGCAAAGAAATATAGCACCACATTTTACACATGACATTATTGCATATAGTGCTAGCAGCTTGAAATATAGTATTTAATTTCCCATGAAGTTACTGTGCTAACATACAAAACAGGTTGTTTGGCTTATGTTAATTTTGATTTTACAGCGTCAGAGAGAGCGCCACAGGACTTCCACCTACGAGCAGATAAATAGGGCGTGATCGGGATGGGGATTTCTGAGCTCTACGTAGCTTATTCAGGACCAAATATGAGACGTTGTTTACAAAGAATTTCCATTATTTAATATGGAAAATATATTCACAAATATAAGGTCATAGTAATGGGAACCTGTTTTAAGAATGTAGAGTTCCATGTGTAACTACTGAAATCTTTGAGTTATAAGAGGTCAGTCTTCTGTTCTGGTCTTGTCTCCGCTGCAGGCTTCATGCCTCCTCCAGTCCCACCGCCTGTTGTACCACCGCCTGCCATCCCACCGGTAGTGCCAACGCGTGAGTGTTCTGCCTGCAGACTTTCTTTATAAATGGGGGCATTAGCCGGTTGGTGCTCATTCTTGTGAATTATTATAACATTTTTACATGAAATTTTTTACTTTTTATTTATTTTAATAAAGCAGATTTTTTAAAAGTTTATTTATTTTGAGAGAGAGCGAGCATGAAGCAGGGGAGGGGCAAAGAGAACGGGAGGAGAATCCCAAGCAGGCTCCACACTGTCAGCACAGAGCCCCGTCCATGTGGAGCTCGAAGTCACAAACCTGGAGATCATCCCAGCTGAGCCAAAACCAAGAGTTGGGCACTTAGCTGACTGAGTCACCCAGGCCACCCCTGTTATGAAAGTTTTTAGAAAAATAACTCTTTTTGTTGTTAAATGATTTCCAAAAAATTAACATTATTATGACAGTCATTTTCCATATTCAGATTTGCACTGTTGTCTCAAAATGTCATTTATAATTGATTTGTTTTAGTCAAAATTCAAAGAAGAGGCCCCAGATCATATTTGTGTGGTTTTGTTTTGTGTATTAAATGTCTCAGTCTAGAGCAGTCCTGCTTCGACCTTCCTTTCTTTTTTAATCTTGATTTGCTGAAGAAACACTTCGCTTCTCTATGCAAGATCCCAAACAATGGATTTGGGTTTTCCTTCTTTGTGATGTTGAATTTGTTCCTCCATCTTCTGGATTTTCTTGTACCTAGGAAGTTTCTTAGCACCCAAGGTTTGCCAAGGATCTGCTCCAACATTTTTAGCAACAGTATTTAATTGGTGGAGTGTTATATAGACTTGATGTTATATCACGTCAGGAGCCATGCAATTTCTTCTTTTGTTTTTGTTTTCTTGCCGTGCAGTTTCTTCTTATCCCACGTTTAATGATGTTAAGATGGATCAGAGCATTCAGGTAGTAGAACCTGGTCTTTAAAAAGGTTTCCCTTCCGATTTTCATCTGATATTTTCATCCACTGATTACTATTGCTTTTTAATCTACTTTCCACTAGTTGCCAAGTGGTAATCTTTTGAATTTTATAATTTTTCCACATGTATTACCTAGAATTTTTCTACTCAAAAACCTTTCTTTTACCAGCTGGTAGTAGTTACTTATCGTGAGGTATAGTTGCATAGAACTGTGGTAGATGCTAAATTCTTGCCCCGAAGTGCCATTTTTCAGCACGAGTTTAGTTCTGTGGGTATTTCCAGTTATATCCAGTGACTGAAGGGGAAGAGCCTTTCTCTTTCTCTACCTTTCGTTTCCACTTCTTTCTCCTTCAGTTTCTTTAACGTTTATGGATTAATAGAATTTTACTTTAGAGCAGTTGCACTCACTTTGCATTTTGAAGTTCAATTTGTTTTATCTTTAGCTAGTAAGAGACCTTTCCTGTTGCCTCTTTATCCTTTTGAGATGACTACATCAGTTTTGGAGAACTTCTTAGCTTTCTGGCCCATTACTGGTTCAAAGATTTTATTGTAGAGAGAGTGTATATGACAGAGAACTTACCTGTAACCCACTTCCCTAATATTTATCAACCCTTTTCTCTCCGTTAGTGTTCAGATAGGATTAGGATCCTTCTTTTTTATTGTTGTTGGTTAATTAGGAAGCATTGTTTATTTTTTCTAAAAATTAGACAAGTGCTTAGAAGCCGTTTCTGAATTCAGCATTTAGAGACTCATCTTAGAGTTCACCTCCCAATCATTTCTTTAGCTTACTCATTTTGGAAAATCTGGGATCAGTTTCACAGAGAAAGAGAAATACAGCCATGTGCCAGATATTCTCTTCATTGTTCATACTGTATTGTTTAATTCTCATAATTCCTATACATGATTGCAGGTGGTTTTGTTGCTGTTTCATAGATAGTTCTGTTACATGCTAGCAGTTTGTCCAGGTAAGGCTGGAGTCAAAATGTGAGGATGTTAAAACAGTGCTTAAAATTCCCAAGTAAATGATGTAATGGTGTTGTGACATAAATTGGACTAAAAATTTTGACGGTTTAAGTGTGATTTTATATTCCTCTAGTTCTGTTTTTTAACATATAAATGATGTATGCACTTAACAGAGTTTTCTATTCTTTAAAATGGAATGTTCATAGGGGCATCTGAGTGGCTCAGTTAGTTGAGTGTCTGACTTTGACTCAGGTCATGATCTCACGGTTCATGGGTTCGAGCCCCGCGTTACGCTCTGTGCTGATAGCTCAGAGCCTGGAGCCTGCTTCTGTTTCTCTCTGTCTCTCTGTCTCTCTTTCTTTCTCTCTCCCTCTCTCTCCCCCTCCTCCATTTGCCCTCTGTCTCTGAAAAAAAAAAAAAACCAAAAAACATTAAAAAATTTTTTATGGAAAACTTTAAAAAATGGAATATTAATACCTTTTTATTTGCAGTTCACATTACCTCTTATGTGAGAAGTAGTGAATGTAAGGATGCTGTACATTATAATTTAAGGGGATTGAGCAGATTCGTATTGTTGTATGTGTCATTCTGCATGAATCATTTCTGTATATTCAGAAATTCTTGTAGTAACATTCTTGGAAATTATTATTTTTTTATTACTGGAATTTTCTTCTAAAGTGCTGGCCTGTGTTTTACTAAACACTGTTTATGAAAATATTTCCAAAAAATTTTTCCCTGATTAAAAATAAATAAAATTTTCTAAATGTAACTTAGCCTCTTCATGGTGACTCCTTTGTCATTTTGAGCATCAATTATTATATAATGTGCTAGGTAATAGAGAGATGCCATTAAATGAAACAGATAAGCTGTGAGATTTCATTATAAAGTAGAGGGACCAGAAGAGAATTCATGTATGTCACGGTAACGTAGTAGTCTTCCCAAACAACTAGGGAGAGAGGAGAGGAAGTCATTGAAAACTTTGGCAAGGGCAGTGTTGACCATAGTTAATCTTTTAACTTAACACATGATTTGTGTGCCTGATTAAATCTGAAATATATTTTCTTGCTCTTTAAACAACAGCTTTAGTGCAGCCGCCATTATCCATGACTCCAGAAACTGTGAAGGATGTTGGATTTGGTAGTCTTGTTTTACCGGGTGGTTCTGTTGCCAGCAATCTTGCTACTTCCACTCTGCCAGCTGGAAATGTTTTTAATCCTTCAACTAAACAAGCAGAGCCTGAAGAAAAAGTACCTCATCTTCTAGACCACCAGATTCCTTCTGCTGAAAGCACCAGAGCAGGTAAGACAAATTAACAGATTCCCCAGAAATACATAGTTAAATTATAAGGACTACTCCTTTATATTGGTGTTTAATTCTGAGATACCTTGCACATTTGTAACCAGTTCAGTGCACCAATACTGAAGTGTTGAATGTTTAAAAAGAGGTCACTATCTCCTAAAATTTCTGTTAGAAAAAAGTTGGCATTCTTTTCAGGTCGGTGTAGATTTTGGTACCTTTAAGACCTCTCCCTTCCCTTTTTTGGCCTATTGGGACTGCAGCAATGTGTTGTTATCAAAATACAACTGCACAAAATATGTATACTTACAGAAAGATAAGAACAAGCAGATATTAGGTCTGAATAATTTCTCCCCAGTATTCTCCAGCCAGTTCCAAAAGATAAATATGATATCTCAAAGTAGCCAGTCGTCTTTTATGGTAGTGTTGTTAGTATATTAAAATTTGTGCTTTAGAAAGACTTTTGTTAAATGTGAAGATTACTATAATACCGTACATTTTTATTAAACTTTAAACGTTCTATGTAAAGATCTTAGGCAACACCACACTTACGTCTTAATATTTAAATTTCACTATGCATAGTAATAATTTTAGCTTTAATTTTTTTTAGTATCTAGTGCATCTTGATTGTTGGGGGATACGAGTTGCTAACTCTAGGCTAACTACTGGAAATTAAAGCATTAGTAATTATAAAAACGGTTTCCTTTTACGTGAATGATTTTTTTGTGTGTTTTATTTTTCCTCTTTCTGTTTTAGTGATTCCAAATGATATTTCAAGTAGCTCTGCGATTTTAGGAGGACAGCCACCAAATGTGACAAGCAATTCTGGAGGAATTCTGGGAGTCCAAAGACCGAATGTATCGAGTAATTCTGAAATTATTGGAGTACGGCCATCTAACGTTTCCAGTAGTTCTGGGATTATTGGAGCCCAGCCACCAAATATTCTAAATAACTCTGGAATTTTGGGACTACAGCCACCAACTGTGTCAAGTAGTTCTGGACTTTTGGGAGTGCTACCCCCAAATATTCCTAATAATTCGGGACTTATAGGAGTACAGCCACCAAATGTTCCAAACACTGCTGGACTTTTGGGAACACAGCCACCAGCCGGGCCTCAAAACCTACCCCCTTTAAATCTCGCTAGTCAGAGGATGCCTGCAATGCCAATGTTAGACATTCGTCCAGGACTAATACCACAGACACCTGGACCAAGATTCCCTTTAATACAGCCTGGAATTCCACCCCAGCGGGGAATCCCTCCCCCATCGGTACTTGATTCAGCTCTTCATCCACCACCCCGTGGTCCTTTTCCTCCAGGAGATATTTTTAGTCATCCAGAAAGACCTTTTCTGGTTCCTGGAAGACAAAGTGTAGACAATGTTACTAATCCAGAAAAAAGGATACCACTTGGGAATGAAAACATTCAACAGGAAGGAGATAGAGATTACCGGTTTCCTCCCATTGAAGCCAGGGAAAGCCTTAGTAGACCTCCCCCGGTGGATGTTAGGGATGTGGTTGGACGGCCTATAGATCCAAGAGAAGGTCCTGGAAGGCCTCCTCCGTTAGATGGTAGGGATCATTTTGGAAGACCTCCTGTCGATATTAGAGAGAATCTTGTGAGGCCAGGCATAGATCACCTTGGTCTAAGAGACCACTTTGCGTTTAATCCAGAAAAGCCCTGGGGGCATAGAGATTTTGATGAGAGAGAACATCGGGTTCTACCTGTGTATGGTGGTCCAAAAGGCTTACATGAAGAAAGAGGTCGATTTCGGTCTGGAAATTATCGATTTGATCCTAGAAGTGGTCCTTGGAACAGAGGATTTGGACAAGAAGTTCACAGAGATTTTGATGACCGCAGAAGACCTTGGGAGAGGCACAGGGATAGGGATGACAGAGATTTTGATTTCTGCAGAGAAATCAATGGAAACCGTCTTGGACGAGATAGAATTCAAAACACCTGGGTGCCCCCTCCTCATGCTCGGGTTTTTGATTTTTTTGAAGGGGCCACTTCTCAACGAAAAGGTGATAATGTGCCTCAGGTTAATGGTGAAAATACTGAGAGACATGCCCAACCACCACCTTTACCAGTACAGAATGATCCTGAACTTTATGAAAAACTGACCTCTTCAAGTGAAATAAACAAGGAGAAGAATGACACAGTTGCTGATATAGAAAGTGAACCAGTGGTAGAAAGCACAGAAACTGAGGGGACATAATCATCACTCAGTAGGTAAAAGATACCTTTTGTAAAGTTGTCATCTCTCTGTAATAGATTAATGGCTGACTGGACCATAGTTGTTCACTTTTGTCTGCCAGAATTAAGTTAATCTGATGTTCATGTTCACCTTTCTCTTAAAATAATTGTACAACTGACTTGTATAGACATTGTTCTTAATATGAACATGGTAGGTAAACATTTTTTTATTTTTCTGATAAAATATAAATGTTGCCCCCAGATTCTTTTAACTTCAAGGAAATGAATAACAGCTTGTCAGAGACTTCCTATGGAAGAAAGAATTTTTTAGATACTACCATTAGGTTGGATATGGTAATAGATATATTTCAAAATAGCAAGTGGTGGTATATCTTATCCATATCTTTAGGCTGCTGCAGAATTTTAAGGTAATAGACAAAGCTGTGATATTTTATGCAAAGACTGGCTCTAGATATTTGAGGAGCACAATACAGAGATTTTAAAAAGTGATTTTGTAAAATCTACACTATGGTCTCTGTTTCTCCAAAGTAAGTGTTTGTGATTTGTTCCTCATACTGCAGTGAGTAAAAAAGAAAAAAGAAAAAAAAAAGAAAACAACATAAATATTAAAGTACGTTTCAATGTTGGGTGAATTTTGTTTTTAGATGCCAATAAAACTTATTTGTTTGATAACAGTGTTCTAGGAATTGTATTTTTTTAATCTACAAATTCTTAAAACCCTGGATCATTAGCAGCATGTGCTTAGTTGCAGAAGTTTTTTTATTACTCTTGATAATGATGAAGAACTGTGTGGTGGAAAAACATGTACTTTGATATAAAAATCATGCAGTCTCATTAGTATGTATGTAATATCTGTATATATTTATTGTGTAAATCCTATGTAGATTTTTGTTTCTCTGTATGTCTGTCTTCATGTACATACAGAGAAAAATAGTTGATAGTTTATAAAATATTCTTTAAAATTGGATAGAAAATTAGAGACATTTGGCTAATTGACAATGCTCATAGTCAAAACTCTTAGCCTTTATGAAGGTAAAATAAGAAATACTGTAAAGAAATGCAATGACAGTTTGGCAATTCTTTTTTAACGTAGTGAGGCATGAAGCCAGAGTTAGCATGGAGCCAAAATTCACGTAAATGGTTGCATTGCTTTGTTTCACATTATATTTGCTATTCTGCATAGATAGTGCTAGTACTAAAGTACTTATTGGTCACTTGCCTGAGGTGAATTTCTTAATTGCACAGAATATATAGAGCTGTTGATGGATTTAAAAACATTATATATCAGGAACAAAGTGTCCATCATGTGTTTTGTAGGCTGTGGGTAACAGTAGCTCCAGGGTAATCTGAGTAGCAGAAAAATTGGGGATTGGTTTCCTATTTATTTATTTATTTTTGCTTTTAATTTTCACCTAATTGCTGTTAGTTTCTCCTTTGGGTTTTACATATATATACACACATATATTAAAAACCATTGGTGCTTTTTTTTCATTCCTAATGAAGGCTTTTATTTGGTCCTGTGAATAGTCATTTTGTTTCCTCTGCATTCCCAGCCATTCATCATTTGCTCTATTTCTTTAAAATTCTTAAGCTACATTTGTCAACCCTTCCGAAAATAAGGATAGAACACACCAGCCCTTTAAAATTGGATTTAAGTTTAAATTTAAAAGTGGATTGGTTTGGCTTACCTCTTGATAATCTAAAGAGTTGTAAGAGCTTTAAGGTTGGTTCCTGGCCAAAAATCAAGTCCTTCTTAATGGTTCTGAACAGAAATAGCACATTATTACTTTTGTTATGTGAAATATGGGTAAGAGTGGAAATTTGGTGTTTATTTTTAAGGCAAATCAATATAGTCCAGTAATTTGAGGTAGTTTCAGATCTTTTCCTTAGGGTAACAGGAAAAACTGTGACATTGGTACAAAGTATTAATGTTCGGGAACGATTAGCCTTGTCTTTAAGGAAATTATATCGACTGGGATTTCAAACTACTTTAGTTGCATTACCGTTATTAAAATTAAGTGATACTCACTTGGATTAAGTAGCAATAAAAAACGTAAGACTTTTCAGTGACTTTTGATCCCAAGTTTTTAATCACTGCTGGGCCTTCATGTGCAAACTTGAAAACAATATGTAGAAGCATTGCACTGGTTTGAAGATTCTGGTGGTAAAAGTTAACCTCATCAGCTGTCAGTGCTATATCTAGAAACCTATCTTGGGAGTGTGTGTGACATTCTTAAAATAGTTGAAAAATAATTATGAATACTTGTTCTCACTTTGTCCTTATTTTGTAGTGTAGTATTTAAGAGAAAGGATATATTACTCATCCTTATACTGAATTCCCAAAGTTTATATTTACGTTTACCAGTTTTTTGAATGATTGGAGAGAAATTACATTTGTTTAAGTTGGAAGTAGAACCTATCACGTTTTTGATGCGCTTGATCCCAGTGCTGTCACTAGAATGCGAGCCAGTGAAACCACACAAAGAGTGACCTAACCACTGAGTACAGTTGTTCCCAGTGCCGCAGGCAGTGTCTGCAGGAGCCACCAAGTTCGTAGTGTCATGATTTGTGGTATGTTAGAGAATGATAGGACTTTCCACGACATTGGTAGACTACAGTTTCAGGAGATACTATGTTTTAAATTCTTTCTTTTTTTTTTTTGGTCTTTAAACACTTCATTAAACATTGGCCTCTGTTTATAGCATAGATACATACAGTGCACTTTGATCATTTATACTGCAGTTAGAAACTTACTTTATAGCAAAGCAGTTATTATCTGCAGCACATTGTAGGTGGAATGCTAAATTTATTTCAGTATGTAGGATGGGCAAATGGTTAGCATTGAAAGGTGGAAACATAAAATTCTTTGAAGCTCTGAAAATGACTTTATATAATATTTGATAATGTTTATTCACTATTTAAGCCATTACATTCTTACCAGTCTTTTGTCCTGATAATTTAGTGGACTCATTAAATTTATTTGCCATTTTCACTCATAATAAGATTATAGTTTATGGAGCCACATGTTCAAGGTTGTTTTCAGGGTGGGTCAGTTATATTACATTCAGAGAGGAAAAGTTACCTCTTTTAATTTGAAAATGTATTTTTTTTTTTTTTACAAACACCATAGTTCATCAGATCTAAAGTGCCATTGATTGTAAGAAACGTCATTCAGAAATAAAAAATGACATGCCAGTGATTATAAGACCCATCCTTTTTTCAGAAACATCAAATGTAAAAGTGTCTTAGAATCAAAGAAATGTGGTTTCATTATGAACTTTATATAGATAGATGTATATATAATCCCTTATTCATTAAGTGATTTAAAGAACATTTTGATGTTTTTTGTCACTGTATATATTTTAAATGGGCACAACTTTAAAGAAAAGGTAAATTTTAATATTCAATTAAAAATAATTTCATTATGCCTTATGTGCCTTTATGATCATTACTTTATTGGGTGCTACTAATAAAATGTTTTAAGGGCTTTTAACTTTCCAAGAAAGGAGACATTAACATTTTTCTTTTTAAATATTTTACATAATGTCGAAGAGGAGAAGCAAATATCTTTATATTATTTTTAAGACAGGCAAAATTAAAAACTAAATATTTGTATATAATCATAAATATTGCAGTGTGACAGAGAATTAGAAATATTTCCTTAATTGAGGATGCTGTGGTTTTATATAAGACAACTTTTAAACTATAAGTTTTAGGCACTAAAATTTTTGTTTTCCACTTCTGAAGAAATGACGGTTACTGCTTTTTAATGGGAGATTTAAATACAAGACACCTTGGTTTAGCAAAATTTTCTGGAATTAGAATTCAAAATTAATGGCCCAGATTGTTTTCTTGCGGGGGTATACTTTAAATAGGGGCGTACATCTTGAAAGTAATTTGAAATACTCTGTGTGGTTCTCAGCCGAGAAATGTAGAATAGAATCACCTGTGGAGCCCTTTGAAACTAGGAGGTGGGGGATGTCACCACAGACTTACAAATACAGACTCCTCTCCGGAGGTACATGTTTACACACACACACACACACACACACACACACACTTCCCTGGGTGTATATATTTGCTCTTTATATATATCTTTATATATATCTTTGCCCCCACATTCTACCACTTCAAATAGATTAAAACATGTAAATACTTAATATGCTGTGCACTTGAGATTCTTTAAAAAATTTTTTAAGTAAAATCCTTTGGTAATATAAAAATTATTTTTAATGTTTAAGTTAAGTATATACTTAATTTGTAGCAGTTGGTACTGGAGTATGAATAAAAAATTGAGAAGTCATTATTACAGATGTTCTAAACTCATTAATATTAATCATTAAGAATCTAAAAATGAATTAAGGCAAGAAAGGGATGGAAGGAAGCATCCTGAGATGGTTTTATAGGAAATATTTTTGACTCAATTGAGACTTTGTTATAGGATATCTCAAAGTAGAAGTTACTTTTTCTTTGGATTTAAATGCTTTGATTATGCGAAAGGACCCTTTGGGATAAGATTGTGAGTGTCAAATTTATCAAGGGCTAGTAGTATTTCTAGTAGGACTGGACTATTAGATGTGGTTGCACATCAGAAACTAATGCAGATTGGTGGTTTATTTTGCATGAGCTTTGCTCAGATATTTTTCTTCCCCTCTACTTAATTCTCCCCTCTTTTGGGGTTCTCTTTTCATTCTTTATGTACACTTAGAATTATTCTGCCCTGTTCTAATCACAATACAGAACAAATATGTAAACTATACCCAGTGGCTCAAGGGGTAGAATTGTGCTCACAGCCTAAGTTTACATCATGGAACTGCTAGGTGCTTCGGATAGTAAGATTGTCGCAGGATTCTCATAGAGTCATGACACCGAGGCTTTTTTTTCCCAGGAAGCAACTTTATTAGTGCCAGGACGACTCAGTTGGGTTCCTACCCTAAGAACTGAGCCCCAAACGCCATGTGGCATAGTCTTTTTATGCATTATCAACTTCTTTGTCTTCCATGTATGGTAACACACAAACATGCAGCCTGTTTAAGTGTTCTCATGTTACAAGGTCTTGAGGGAAATTTTGTTTTGTTTTGTTTTTTGTTTTCATTCCTTAGGGAGGGACCCTACCACAGATTGACCTTTCCCGAAGGAAGCAAAGGAGGGAGCTCTTATGCACAGAATTCACCAGATGGTAGAGAGTAAACTTGGAACTTATGACTTTGAGCCCTGAGTTAATGAGAAATAGATGAATTTAATGAGTCTGTTACACTTGTGTAGCAATGGCAGATATGTTGCACTTGGTTTACATGTGTTGTTTGGCCCTCTCTGCTCTCCCTGGGAGCTATCACTATTTTGTCTTACTTTTCTGCTTTTCTCAGAATTCTCAAATACTTCCTGGGGCACCTGGGTGGCTCAGTCCATTAAGTGTCTGACTCTTGCCCAGGTCATGATCTTGTAGTTCGTGAGTTCGAACCCCTGTTCAGGCTCTGTGCTGGCAGCTTGGAGCGTGGAGCCTGCTTCCGATTCCGTGTTTCCCTCTCTCTCTGCCCCTCCCCGTCTCGTGCTCACTCCCTCGCTTTCCCCTTCTCTCTCTTTCACTCTCAAAAATAAACATTTAAAAAAAATTAAAAATCCTTATCATAGCACTCCAGCCTCCTTTTTGACCCTTGATTCCAGGCAAGGACTATCAAT